TACAGAATCAATAACAAAAACTAACAAACAATCAAAGAATTCAGTAAGTTAGCAGGATATAAAATTAACATACAGGAATCAACTGCTCTGAGTACACAGTAACCAGTTAACAGGAGTAATCTCAGAAAAATCCATTTACAGTAGCAATAAAGAGGATGAAATACTTAAGAATAAATTGAAGAAATATGCTAATCTATAAATGAAAAATTTAAAACACTCCTAAAAGACATAAAAGTAATCTTGGACAAATGGAAAGACATTTCTTTTTTTCTTTTTCATTCTTTTTTTTTTTTTAGCATTTCTTTCTTCCTTTATTTTTCTTTTAAATACATTTGTCTCTGCCTCCCCCTCCACCACTATCCCTTGCCCCCTCCCTCCTTCCCTCCCTCAGCTCTTCCCCTTTGGTTTTGTCCATGAGTCCTGGCTATATGTTCCTTGACTTTCCCCTTCCCTTCCCTTTCCCTGCCCCCCCTCCCTCCTTCCCTCTTGTCTCTGTAGATTTCTTTTCCTTTCAGTGTTGCTGGTCTTATTTTCCTTGCATCTTTGTATTGTTGGTTAGGTTCCGCTTATAGGTGAGATCATATGGTATTTGTCTTTCGCCCACTGGCTTATTTCGCTTAGCATAATGCTCTCCAGTTCCATCCATGCTGTCGTGAAGTTTAGTAGTTCTTTTTTTCTTTCTGCTGCATAGTATTCCATTGTGTATATGTACCATGACTTTTTGATCCAATCATCTACTGATGGGCATTTAGGTTGCTTCCAACACTTGGCTATTGTAAATTGTGCTGCTATGAACATTGGGGTGCATAGGTTCTTTTGTATTGGCATTTTTGTGTTCTTAGGGTATACTCCCAGCAGGGCAATCACTGGATCAAAAGGCAATAACACTGCAAGGTAGATACTATTAGGATTACTATTTTTACAGTGCCCAGTCTCTTGAATACTGTGCTTTGGAAGGTGCAGCTCTGAAATAGAAGGAGAACCAGTGAGTGAGATGTCATAAATGTTTAATGAGTTTGAAGGCAGGAGCTGTCAACAGTGTTAAATGTTATTGAAAGGTCAAATAAGATGAGACGTTATAACGTCTTCCAGAAGCCATTGATAAGCTTAGAAAGAACTGCTTATGTAGCGATATGGGGATGGAATACACACTGGAGTGTGCTAAGGAATAAGTAGATGAGATCAGAGAGAAAACAAGTACAGACAACTACACCAAGAAGCTGGGCTGTGAGGAGTGGGCAGAGAAACCAGTGGCAGCAGAACAAGTGAGTGGCAAGGGTCCTAGCAGAGGGCTTAAAATATAGGCTGGAATCCAGCCAGGCTGTGCACTCAAGCTGTAAACTGTGGCCTGGAGTTGTGGCCTAAAGGAAGGAGTACTGCTTTCAATGTGGTCAGTCCACTTTCTGCAATTTATCTAGCTAGTGGGGGCACTTTCTGATTCCCATGAAAGCACTGTATGTGTAAGCAGGAGCTGTGCCAGAGGAGGATGTGAATCAATGAGGCTTTTTTAAAGAGAGAGACATATAAGTATGTTTAATTCTCACACTGGAGAGAACAATCTGGTTAAGAGGGTGTGGTTGGGTTCACAGAGGGAGAAGTAGTAAGCAGTAGAAAGAACTAGGCCTACTCTATTGTACCAGAACAAAAAAAAATGGGGGTAGGGGGCAGGAGGTAGGAAGTCCACTAACTTAAAAAAGTGATAAAAATCACTTTTATAGAAAACAACTTATATCTGATTAAGCTCTCTTTCTGCTGGGCTGACAATTTACCTTGGAGATTCCTTAGGTGTCTCTACTCCCAGGGCTACACCGTTGATCTGGAGTCTTCAGATCACTGGGTTTTGGTCCACATAGTTGCCCCTGAAATGACACCACCACTTTCTGTGACTCTTGTGCTGCCCTCAAGCTGTACCTGGGGCTTAGGAAGGTTTGGGACAGTGTCTCTGCTCAGATCACCTCTGTCAAGATGAATCATACAGACACTCCCCCTTGAGTCCTGCTCTTCCCTGATGCATTGAAAGAAAGAAGAGCTTAGATGGTCTCTGCTATGGAGCCCACAGAATTTTCTCTCTTCTTTCACCCACCTCTAGCTTAGAGGAAGAGCCAATGGATAGCTGCTCTTCCCCTGCTTCTCTAAGACATTTTGCCTAAGCCCTCACACCTTGCCTCTATCAGCTAGCTTTTCCTGCATAACACTCCCCAACTTAGTATCTTACAACCCACATCTCTTATTTCTCATAATTCTGTGGGCCAGCTAGGTGGTTCTTTTGGTTTGGGTCAACTCAATTGGGATGGAGGGAGTAGCATCTTTCTTTTCAAAGTGTGGTCCTGAGACTGGCAGCACCCAGAAACTTACTAGAAATGTAGACTCTCTGGCTCCACCCTAGACCTAAGGAGCCAACTTCTGCATTTTGACAGATCCCCAGGAGGTTTATGTATACATTAAAGTTTGACACACACTGGTCTAGGATTTCCCTTCTTACCTGTCTGATGGTTAGGAGGCTAGGTGGGCTGAGAAGCTTCAGCTGGGAAGGCTTATTCTCTGATTTATGTGGCTAGCCCAGGCTTCCTCACACAGCGACGTCAGGGTTCCCAAGAGTAGTAAGAGGGCAATCCCCACAGTGGAAGATTTTTTTCGAGCCTCTGCTTGTGTCATATTTGCTACTGTCCCACTGGTCGGTGTAACTCATGAGGCCATTCCAGAGTCACTGTGAGTAGGTATTGCCAAAGGGCATGAAGAGAGGAGGAAAAAACTTTGTCATTATTTTTACTTTTTTATTGGGTTTTTTCCATTACCATTTATCCCCCCTTATACCCTCCTCCCTCCTGCAATCACCACACTATTGTCCATGTCCCTGAGTCATTTTCCCTTTTTGCTCAATCCCTCCACCTCCTAACCACCTCCCCAGAGCTGTCAGCCTGCTCTCTATCTATGAGTCAGTCTCTATTTTGCTTGTTAGTTCAATTTGTTCATTAGATTCCACATATGAGTGGAATCATATGGTATTTGTCTTTCTCTGACTGGCTCATTTCACTTAGCATAATGTTCTCCAGATCCCTCATGTGGTTATATTTTAAAACCTACCACACTCTACTGGAGTTTAGGCTTTTGGAATAAAACACTAATGACGTTTTGCACTCTGCCCAGCCATATCTCTCCACTCAGTTGAGCACAGAGTCACCTACCTGCTTAAAAAAGGAGAGCAGGATGGAAGTGAAAACATAGGAAAATAAGTTATACATCAATATTAGAAAATAATATTCTTGCCACAAAGAGAAGCTAGATACGGACAAAAGTGGATATATGGGCCTGGTAATAGAAAAGTGAGAGATTGTTTATCAGTTTCAGTTTCTCTATGAAATTGGAGGTAAGGTCATCTGTTGAGATGGGGAGGGGTGATGGAGGGCAAAGAAGGGTATGAAAGGTCTAAATAGAGTAGACCTTTCCTCATAGAAAGTTTGAAATATCATAAATGAACTTGAGCCTGGAAGTTGACTTAGAAAGTATAGGACCTTAGGGACCATGTGAGATTGATGATTATGACTTTATCTTGATGACAATTTGTCCTGTGAGGAAACTTTTTGCAACAGTGTTTGCAGGCACAAAGAAAGCCAAAAGCAGGGTTTGAGAGATCTAGCTAAATAAGTGATGAAAAGGTAAAGGGCCACAGAGTGTAGGTTATTGGCAAAAGTGTTACTAAAATAATGATCTGGGGCCTCTTCCCTTCTCATATGAAAATGAGAACAAAGGTAGTAGTGGTCAATGAGGCTAGAGAGTAGACATAATTTGAGCAAGTGATTGAAAGGAGAGGGAATTGTGGACAGAAAGTCGGTGTTTGATTTCATAGGTGGAGTAGTTTCGGAAGAAAAAGACCAGAGGCAATCTTTGGAGATGTTCTGAGGTTTCCAATTTGAATACCATCCCCTAGTGATGAGATTTGCTCTATATCTTCCATTAACCTTACAACAACTTCTCTAAAGGGGTGTTTATATTTCTTGTTAATTATCCTGCTAAAACAAAGCAAAAATTATTCTTTTTAGTTTTCTTTTGCATTTCAGGAACTCTGAGCTTTATCTGCGTCTTGGACTTCCTGTCACTTTTTCATACATCCCTGAGTACATGTCTCTCCTTATGGGACCTTGTAAACACTGAGCTCCTGAGAAACTCCACCATCTTCCCACTCGGATTTTGTAAATGACTTTGCTCACATGTGTATGAACAGACTAGGTAATGCTGTAGTAACAAATGACCCTCAAATCTCACAACACCAGGAAGTAGAGGCACTAAAAAAATCATGGCATTTTAAAAATGAGTAAACAAATCCTCAGGATATCTGTAAGATGTGCATGCCCCTCGGGGGCAAAACCCTAAGGAATACAACACTTGACATTTCGCAAAGACTGCATCCTAATAACTAAATGTGTGACGTAAATGCAGTAGTGCCTGATTCTTCTGGACTGCCATGCAATGTGCAATTGTATTTATCTCAGTGAAGAAGTTCTCCATCCAAAACTCAGTATCACTCGTCCTGGGACTGATGGGGACACTGGATGTAGATAGTGACCAGGACCCCAATCTAAATAGTGTGGAAGCGAGTCTGCCTATGATACAGATGGCCAGGCAAGGGACATGTAACAAGAGAGGCAGTGAAGATTGGGTGGAGTCCACATCTCATCACTTGGGTACATTCCGTACACACGAACCCATCCCCTTGCCTGAAGTTAATTCATGAAGATTTGACTTCATTACGGAGTGATTGGGGAAAGGTGGAGTCTGGCTCGATGCGCCCTGGCCGGCGTCTTCACCCAGCTGCAACTCCGCCCAATCTGGCAGATCCGTGGGCGAACCCGGATGGGTAGAGAGGCGGGAAGAAGCTGTGAGGTTGAAGGCGGGGCAGGCGGCTGCTTCGGCGGCCAATAAGCGACTATTCAGCCGCTGAGCCGAGAAAGGGCGGTGGCGCCGCCACTTGCACCACCGCCTCCCAAGTTTCTACTTGTAGATGCACAGCCCTAGTGGCTTTGCCCCTCCCGGCGCAGAGGGGCCCAGAGGAGCCGGGGAAGCGGATTCGGGACGGGATTTCTAAGGAAAGGGAGAAGACGGGAGCCGCACCCTCTCTACTGGGTGTCGGTTAACGATGAAGGGCCGGCGGCGGCGGCGCCGGGAGTACTGCAAGTTCGCGCTGCTCTTGTTGCTGTACACACTGGTGCTGTTGCTGGTCCCCTCCGTACTGGACGGCAGCCGCGACAGGGACAAGGGCGCCGGGCACTGCCCGGGCCTGCAGCGCAGCCTGGGACTGTGGAGTCTGGAGGCGGCGGCGGCGGGAGAACGGGAGCAGGGCGCGGAGGCGCGGCCCGCCGCTGAGGGGCGCGCAGGCCAGTCCCCGGGACTCCCGAGCAACCTCAGCAGCGCTGTCGGGGAGACTGTGTCTGGTGAAAAGCAGCATATATATGTGCACGCCACCTGGCGCACCGGTTCGTCGTTCCTCGGCGAGCTCTTTAACCAGCACCCGGACGTTTTCTACTTGTATGAACCCATGTGGCATCTCTGGCAGGCGCTGTATCCAGGAGATGCTGAGAGCCTGCAAGGCGCGCTGCGTGACATGCTGCGCTCGCTTTTCCGTTGTGACTTCTCCGTGCTGCGTCTGTACACGCCGCCAGGAGACCCCGCCGCGCGCGCCCCGGACTCTGCCAATCTCACCACGGCCACTCTCTTTCGCTGGCGGACCAACAAGGTCATCTGCTCGCCGCCCTTGTGCCCCGGCGCGGCCCGTGCCCGGGCAGAGGTTGGCCTTGTCGAGGACGCCGCCTGCGAGCGCAGCTGCCCACCAGTGGCTCTGCGCGCCCTTGAGGCCGAGTGCCGCAAGTATCCGGTTGTGGTCATTAAGGATGTGCGCCTTCTCGATCTGGGCGTACTGGTGCCTCTGCTACGTGACCCGGGCCTCAACCTAAAGGTGGTGCAGCTTTTTCGAGACCCGCGGGCCGTTCACAATTCGCGCCTTAAATCCAGGCAGGGGCTGCTGCGCGAAAGCATCCAAGTGCTGCGCACCCGCCAGAGAGGAGACCGGTTCCACCGTGTGCTGCTGGCGCACGGCGTGGGCGCTCGCCCTGGGGTCCAGTCCCGTGCGCTGCCCGCTGCGCCGCGCACCGACTTCTTCCTGACCGGTGCGCTGGAGGTGATCTGTGAAGCCTGGCTGCGCGACCTGCTCTTCGCGCATGGGGCGCCCGCCTGGCTGCGGCGCCGCTACCTGAGGCTTCGCTATGAGGACCTGGTGCGGCAGCCGCGCGCCCAGCTGCGCCGCCTGCTGCGCTTCGCCGGGCTGCGCGCGCTGGCGGCGCTCGACACCTTCGCGCTCAACATGACGCGTGGCACAGCCTATGGCGCGGACCGGCCCTTCCACCTGTCGGCGCGCGACGCCCGCGAAGCCGTGCACGCCTGGCGCGAGCGCCTGAGCCAAGAGCAGGTGCGTCAGGTGGAGGCTGCCTGCGCTCCGGCCATGCGTCTGCTTGCCTATCCCCGCAGCGGAGAAGAGGGAGACGCAGAGCTGACCCTGGACGAGGAGACACCGCTGGAAATGGAGGCTGTCGGCGCCACGTAGCTTCCCACCCGCGTCCCAGGAGCAGATCTGGGTAAGGTGGCCCGGGGCAGGGAGGGGCAAGGAAGGGTCTTCAGGGAGCTTGGACCAGCCTGCAAGGAGAGTGGTAGGAATGCACTACAGGCAGAATTTTGGGAGTCGTCGGGATCACCAGCTTAGCCACCTGCCTCCTCAAGGGAAGACACTGAGATGAGAAAGGTTTAAGTATGGCTAAGTATGGGGAACCCAGGTCTCCATACTCCCAGTCCCGTCCGTGAAGTAGGAAGTATGGTCATCTGTTGAGAATTGGGAGGGGCGGGGAGAGAGATATCAGGTCTGGGGAGAGAAAAGATTTATTTCAAAGTCGTAATGGAACTTGAGACGGAATTGACATGAAAAGCATAGGATTTCGGAGACTACTTGAGGTTCATGATTATGACTTTATCTTGACGCCAATCTGTCCTATGAGGAAACTTTTTGCAACAGTGACTGCCTGCACAGAAAAAGCCAAAAGTAGGGTTTGGTGGAAAGTTATTGACTCTTACCTTACCCCCCCATCTGTTTCTTTTCTTCTGTGCTTCGGTTTCTCTGACGTGCAGACTCCAGGGCTTTCCTTTTGAGTTCCCAAGCGCACAGGCATAGTCAGGCCTCTCTTGAAACAGTTTTTGCACATGTGTGTCTCAGGCTCTGCTATAGTGGTGTAGAATGGACTTAGCTTTCCTCCTGGCTCATGTGGAGTCTCCCCCACCCCCATGACTGGTGTTTGCAGGGTATTTGACCATATCCCATTTACATCAGTTCCCAAAAGCTGCCTGGTCAGCTTCCTCCAGTGCTGACAAGACCTCAAGGCTGGGCTTCCCCCAACTTTGCCCCATGTGTTTGAGAGATGGAACCTTAGATTTGCAGTAGCAGCTTTGGCTGTAACTGCAAAAGGAGCTTTGTGAGAGGACACCATCCCATTATTTTGTTCTTTCTCTGTAAAGCATGTATCCTGAGATGCTAAAATTGTGCTTAAATGATCTCAAAATGTGTTGAGTGCCTAGGTTAGTGTATGGCCTGTACATTGGCTGAGGGGAAGACTTTGTTCTGCATGATGCAAACTAGTTAGTGGATGGGGATGGGTTTCCCCAAGCTCTGTGCGAGGTGGAAGGGTGCAAGCTTTCTGCACTGTGCAGTCCAGCAGAGGAGGAAAAGCAGTGCTGGGTGGGTGGAAGTGACTTAAGTTTCCATTCATTATTTTATAGAGTAACTCATGATTCCCCTGGGATGAAGCTCTGAAGACAAAGTTGAAGATGTTAATGAAGGTGGACTTTGTTGTTAATAGAGCTGTTTCAGAGAGATTTCAGAAGTTGGTTGATTTTTCTACCAGTGATCAAGTGTGTTTTTTTGGTCAGTTTCTATAATTACTAGGAAGTCTGTGTTCTTTCCTGATTTCTAGAGTAAAGGAAGGTAAAGCATAGAGTGAATTGTCACATCTCAACAAAAACATCCTTTCATCTGTTAATCTTGTATTTACAGATAGAAGTTAACGTAATGGCCCCTAACCCTCCTTCAGAGGCCAGAGGGAACCCCTCTCTAGGGAAATGCTACAGCATTTTATGGCTTTAGGAACAGACAATTTCCCAGAAACTTTCACATTTTTCTCATTTTCATTAATGTTTACTGAGTGCTGACTGGGATGGGGTAAGAAGAGAGAGGAGTCTTAGAAGGCAAGGCTTAGTCCTCTAGGAAGTTAGAGTCTGTGGGGGTGACTGTGGAGGAAGGCACTGGTGCTGCTGTTTGTAAGGCCTATAGGGCTTTCTCTGAAGGGCTGCAAGGACATCTAGTAGCCAGTTTTAGGGTCTTTCATACTTTGTTGACTAATCCCTTCCTCCCACATTTCTGCTGGAATTATTGGGCACTTACAATGTCATCACCAACCCGTGGATTTATTAAAATGTTGTATTTGTGAGTTTCTAAAAGTCTGTCACACTCTAGGGAAGGAAAGAGACTGGGAACGGAAGGTTAGAGGCCATTATGTGCCATGTGTTGAATTAAGCATTGTACATGTATCATTATTTTGACATATTATCAATTTTACAAATGAGGAACTGGAGACTTAGACAAGTCACATAATTTGCTCAAATACACACCTGGGTTGGTTACGGTGGAGCAGCTTTGGTGTTCAACTCCAGAGCTCTCCAATATGACACACTCTTACATGCGCCCCCCCCCCCATCCACTTAGCATGCCCTGGCAGCACCTTTGGTACTCCAGCCAGGTGGGAATTACATTTAACTTTATTACTAATATGCTCCAGCCACTGAACAAATCAATAAAATATCCCTGAGCGGCCAACCTACACAGAAAAGCTGGTAACTCTACAGCCATCTACCCCATGGCTGTCCTCACAGGGCATCTGAGCATGTCCTCAGCTCATCAGTGAAGAAGGGCTACACCTGAATTGACCCGAGTAACCTCTAGATGGTCCATACCTGACAACCAGGATTTGCCAGGGAGTCACTGCGATTTTTTTTTTAGGGTTAGCTGGTGACCTCAGCATCCTGAACCAAGTCACCAAGACCCAAGTCATTTCCATCTTTTATATCTTTTTGGATTTCATTCACTGTCACAAGATGGTAGCCTCAGCAGCAAACAGCACTTTCTCACGCAACTACGCAGGGTTATTAAAATGCAGAAAGGAAGGAAACTGGTTAGCAGGTAAAGAGTGGTGGAGTTTTCCCTTATGAGTGTGTGGCTCTCTTTCCTTCAGTCTGCTTATAGAAACCTTTCCCAGAACCCCCTGCCCCCAGCCTACTTCTTTTATGTTTCACTGGGTCACATGGTCTGCTCTAGCCAAAAAGTTGGTGAAAGGCACTAGGATTGTCATGATCGGCTCAGACCACATCACATTCATCTGAGGGGCTTTTATTTTTCATGTCAATACCTGAGTTCCACTCCTAGAGATACTGATGTAATTGATCTGGGGTGGGGTCCAGGCACTGGGATGGTTTAAAAGGCTCCCCAGGTGACTGTACTATAAGGTAAATTGAGGACCCCTGATTTGGACCAGTCATGATTCATCCCCTGACCTCAGTTGTTGCCACTTGGACAAGATCAGGATGGGGGCTGTTAATGAGCAGCAAACTGTGCTACAATAATTTATGTGAAATAACTTGGAACTGTGAAATTCCAAGCAGCTATAGGATGTTAATAAGGAAAGGGAAAAATGCCTTAAATTATTTACGGATCCACTTATCACCCTCTCACATTCCTTCAAATGCTTTGTTGTCTGTACTCCTTATCTAGTAATCCATCCTTTTACACTATCTATTGGAGTTCTGAGCAGACTGATATGCTGTCCTATCCTTTTCAGCATGTCTCCCTTTGACCTCTACCCTTGGCAGGACCCAGGGTTTCATTTCCATAGGCATTTCAGACACTCTGGCCTTTCTTTATTTGACAGTATGGATGGACTCTTTGAATGAAATTAGGAAAAGAGGTAAATGAACTGTGACCTAAGCCGCAGCAGTCAAAAAGATTTCTTTCTGCGGAAGTCATCCAAACAGAAAAATAAATGACCAGGCACCACCAAGTCCCTAACAAAGCATTTTGAAAGTCAAAGCACATCCACATCCAAATTCCTATTGCTCCCCTGTGAAGTTAGTGCTGCCTTTGACCAGGACATTCTTGGAGCTGCCTTCCCAGAGGACCCCATCATTTCACAGTGGATTTGGTGTTTAGGAAAAATCAAGATTCATGAAGTCTGGTGACCGGGCAGAGGAGGAAGCTCATCCTGCATAGTGATTTGTGGCCATAACGCAGTAACAGGGCCATTCCTTGGCTCATATGAAATCAGTTTTTATATTGGGATGGCAGGAACCCAGGCATCAGGGCCTGGCTTACCTGGTTACTACTTGATCTACCTTGGGCAAGTCCCTAAGCCTTTTTTTCTAAAGGTTTTATTTATTTATTTCTGGAGAGAGGGGAAGGGAGGGAGAAAGAGAGGGAAAGAAACATCAATGTCAGAGAGAAACATTGATTGCTTGCCTTTCATAGTTGCCCCGACAGGGCACACGCTCTGACCGGGAATGAAACTCAAGCAGCTATAGCAAGACCTTTTGCTTGCGGGATGACGCCCAACCAATTGAGCCACACTGGTCAGAGCCCTCAGCCTTTTTGGCGTTAGTGTTTTTCATAATAATAAGAGGTGGTTGAATTAAGAGGATTCGCAAGGTTTCTTACTTCTAAGGGGAGATGACATTTATTGAGTGCCTATTTTGTGCACTGTTACTTGTGTCTGAATTAGCTCTATCTTAGCTTTAAGAGGTAGACAGTACCCCATTTTATGAATGGTGAAACAAGCTGAGACAGTTTGGGCAATTGTCAAGGATAACACAGCCAGAGAGTAAAAATCAGGTGCTATGTTGGAAGTAGTGTTTTACAAATATTATAAAATACATGCATGTGGTGAAAAAAAGTTCAACATATGCAAAGATACAAAATACCTGCCAATCTCACTTCCTAGAAGCAACCACTACATTTCTTGTAATAAATGTCTAGAAATGTTTTATGCAAATTTAAACAGAAATATATAGCCTTTTAGGTAGCTAAATCTTTTTCTTTTTAATTCCTTAAAATTTAAAAAATTGAGATACAGGTAGGATGACCGTATGTAGAAAGGCTATATGCTTTGTACATTTTGAAGAAGTAAAGTCTTCAGAGTCGCACCAACTTTCACTCCCACAGGCTCTTTTTGGGGTGTCTGTTTCATACACTTTCAGCAGCATGGACTTTATCTAATTTTTTTCATACTGGCTAGTATGATGGATAGAAAATCCTTCTTCCCAGTACCCTGGTGCTGACCCTACAGTTCATCTCAGACAATGCATGATTGCTTCACATCTAAGGTTATTTGTGGGAACCAGGATGCAGAGATATCATCAACTTCTTAGTCCTTCTGCAGTCCACGTGTATTTGGAAAGTCATTTTTTTGTGATTCTTTTGAAGGACTGGATACATTTTGAAATATAAATGATCATCCCTTTTTAAAACCACAGTTATATATGCAGTTAG